TCGAGCTTGCTGTGCTGACGCTCGACCTGCTTGGCTGCTAGGTTCTTGGGCTCTGATGTAGTCATAATGACCATTGTTTGTTCAATCATTCTCTAATCCCAACTTTGCTAGTGAAGCTCTTGCCAATTCTCGTTGTGAATGTGCAAGTGCTAGAGAACGCAGGCAAGGCTACGATCACACACACAACCCGTGCCAACCCCATAGTCTACCTCCTGACCGTTGTTGAGTGATTCTCCAAATTACTTACCCATATGGTTACCAAGAGTAAGTGCGTTACTTACCCATATCGTTGGTACCAAGAGTAAGTGCGTTACTTACCCATATGGTTGGTAGTGAGTATAGTACGTTACTTACCCAAATGGTTGGTAGTAAGAGTAAGTTCGCTACTTACCCACATGGTCGGTCGTAAGAATAAGTGCGTCATTTACCTATATGGTTGGTAGTACGAGTAAGTGCGTTACTTAACCATATGGTTGGTACCAATAGAAAGTGTGATACTTACCCATGTGGTTGGTACCAAGAGTAAGTGGGTTACTTACCCATGTGGTCGGTATTAAGAGCATATGCGTTACTTAACCACACGGTTGGTACCATGAGTAAGTTCGTTACTTACCCATATGGTTGGTACCGAGAGTAAGTGTGCTTCTTACTCATATGGTTGGTAGTAAGAGTAAGTGCGTTACTAACCCATATGGTTGCTACCAAGAGTAAGAGCGTTACTTACCCATATGGTTGGTAGTAAAGGTAAGCGCGTTACTAACCCATGTGCTTGCTACCAAGAGTAAGAGCGTTACTTAACCATATGGTTGGTATTAAAAGTGAGCGCGTTACTTACCCATATGGTTGGTACTAAGAGAATGAGCGTTACTGACCTATATGGTTGGAAGTAAGAGTAAGTGCGTCACTTACCCATATGGTTGGTAGTAAGAGTTATTGCGTTACTTACTCATATCGCTGGTAGTAAGAGGAAGTGCATTAGTTACCCATATGATTGGTACCAAGAGTATGTGCGTTACTTGCCCATATGGTTGGTAGTAAGTATAGTGCGTTACTTACCCAAATGGTTGGTAGTAAGAGTAAGTGCGTTACTTACTCATATGGTTGGTACGAAAAGTAAGTGAGTTACTTACCCGTATGATTGGTACCATAGGGTAAGTGCGTTACTTACCATGTGGTTGGTAGTTAGAGTAAGCGCGACACTTACATGGGTAAGTGCGTTACCAAGAGAAAGTGCATTACTTACCCATTTGGTGGGTACCAAGAGTAAGCGAGTCACTTCCCCATATGGTCGGTATTAAGAGTATGTGCGTTACATAACCACAAGGTTGGTACCAGGAGTAAGTTCGTTACTTACCAATATGGTTGGTTCCAAGCATAAGAGCGTTACTTACCCATATGGTAGGTAGTAAGAGTATGTGCGTACTTACCCACATGGTTGGTACCAGAGTAGGTTCGTTACTTACCCATATGGTTGGTACTAAGAGAATGAGCGTTACTTACCCATATAGTTGGAAGTATGAGTAAGTGCATTTCTTACCCATACTGTTGCTTCCAAGAGTAAGAACATTACTGATCCATATCGTTGGTCATAAGAGTATGTGCGTTACTTACCTACGTCGTTGGTAACAAGAGTAAGTTCGTTACTTATCCATGTGGTTGGTACCAAGAGTCAGTGCGTTACTTACCCATATCATTGGTACCTAGAGTAAGTGCGTCAGTCGCCATATGATTGGTACCAAGAGTAAGTGCGTTACTTAACCAAATGGTTGGAAGTAAGAGTAAGTGCGTTATTTAACCATATGGTTGGTACCAAGAGTCAGTGCGTTATTTACCCATATGATTAGTACCAAGAGTAAGTGCGCTACTTATCCATATGGTTGGTACTAAGAGTAAGTGCATCACTTACCCAGATGGTTGGTACTAAGAGTAGGTGAGTTACATACGCATATCATTGGCACCAACAGTAAGAGCGTTTCTTACCCATATGGTTAGTAACAAGAGTAAGTGCATTACTCCCAATATGATTGGTACCAAGAGTAGAGCAAGTGCGTTACTTACACATATGGTTGATGCCAAGAGTAAGTGAGTTACCTACAATCATTGACATGAAGTTCTCGCTAAGTGCAAGTTCACCGAGTCGCTCCCCTTCATCAGCAGACCTATTCGTCATTTGTTTCCTTGACGTGTTATTCTTGTGTGATAGTTTGAATTTGCACGTTGAGGCGAAATATCTTTACGTCGTTCCATTATCTGAGAAAAGTACCCGTTTGAATTCATAGATACGTACAATCCGTGCTGTTCTCTCTCTGAGCAGAGCTCTGTAGAGCGCGTGAAGGAGCAGCTTCAGGTGCACACCGGGACAGCCGTGTCAGCCATGCAGCTGCAGCTTTTCAGTGCTTCCAGCAAGTCGTCAGAAACAGACACATTGTTACATTCAGGACTCGAGGACATTCGACTGCTGGGATACTACTCCCCTCAAAACGGGTACTCTTCATGACCCGAAGCTATTACTGGCCTTTCAAGTGATTCTCCTGACGATGGAAGTGATTTTATTGAGAAACGCCCAATCTCTTATTTGAAATTGAATTTCCTTTTTGTTTTGGACAGGTACCGTCTCCACGTGATTGACACTGATCCCACCTCAGCAGCTGCCTCTGGATGGCTGGACGACACGTCCTTGGTGGAGAAATACACGATTTCTGAAGAAGATTATGAAAAACGAGATGGTAAATGATGCGGAATCCATCTTTCCACGAGCAACGTCTGACAATGTTTCACTGTCAGGAACTCACACTTCAACACATGTCTAACAGATTCTGCTCGGAGGTTCAAGCAACAACTGTATACTGCACGGCCTGACCTTGCCCCTCAGCCTGTAAGCTCGATCTTCCTTCCTGCTGTTGGCCTTCTCTCGTCCAAAATCAAATCTCCTGATGTTTCAGATATCAATTATGGACCTTGAAACGTTATGGTTTCCACATTTCAGGGTACTTCTGCGGACTTCATGGCTGACATTGCAGAAACCATAAAGGTGTCGAATTTCTCTCAAATGGCGCATCAAGTGTGCCCCATACCAGCATTCTGTTTTTCGTGTCACACAATCTGGTTCTTGAAATCCTCACCTTCATTGTTCTTGTTTTCAACTCTGAGTCAGCTGTCTGCTTGCAGGTTGGCGACAGATGTGAGGTGGACCCAGGCGGCAAGAGAGGAAGCGTTGCCTTTGTGGGCACTGTAGATGTTCTTCCTAATGGATTCTGGGTGGGAGTGAAGTTCGATGAGCCTGTGGGGGTCAATGATGGAAGGTGCGTATATTTTTTTATTTTATTTTATTTTCGTTGAGCTTTTATTATTCCACCCTTCTCTTTCAGCTTCTCTTTTTCTCTCTTCTGTGTTGCTGCGTTATCATGCCCAGCATTCTAATGCAGGCCGCATAGCTTGCATTGTGGCTTCTTTTGTCTCTGCTTGCAGTGTGGAGGGTAAGAAGGTCTTTCATTGTGAGCGCAATTACGGCTCTTTTCTGCGGCCAGACAAAGTCAAAGTGAGAGGGGCTAGTTGCCTTTTAACCCAGTAATTTCCCCTTCTTCCAGAGTGCAATTTGGTTCTGACTCCACCTTCTGCCTTGGCAGATTGGAGAATACCCTGAAAGAGATCCGTTTGACGATGACGAGCCTGATGAGTTTTAATGACATAATATATACCGTTTGTCGTAGCAGGCTAATCACATGTCATGCTTTCAGCGATGGAAAGAAAACGGTGTAGCTTATTTGAGTAGTTAAACCTTTTGCCCAGCTACTTTGTAGTTTCAACCTCTACTTTTGTCGCAACATATTGAAGTGTGGCCAAATTTTCCGACCTTTCCTCACCGCAGGCATAAAAAATGTTTGTGGTATGCTGCGTGGTTCATCGTCCCGTCCAGTCATGTTCGAGGCAGGGCTGACGTTTCAGATGTTTCGCGAGCGAATCTCGAAAGTACCTACTTTGTGGGAGAGCCGTGTTGTGTGGTGCAAGCAAACTCAGATTCGATGCTACCTCTACGATAACCTGAAACATCCGTGTGCCATAAGAACACATGCTGAAAACGTATGTTTCCCGTCGTGAACGTAGCTCCTGAAAAACAAACCCCCCCGCAACTCTGACGATACCCCGACGTGACTTTCTGAAGCACCAATTTTTGAGATGTCGTGCACTGCATTCCCGGCATCCACGCCCTTCTCGCTCCTTGTCCCGCCATCCGCTCGACACTGCTCCGTTCAATCGGTCGTGCCTGCGTTACTCCATAACCCTGTTCTTCGCCAGCCAGCCGCAAGCCTTGACTCTCCTCAGCCTCACCCCTCACCCGCGTCTTCCAGCTTTCCTTCTCGTCTATTCCCTTCCTGTACTCCCTCTGTCCGTGCTTCCTCACTTCATGGAAACCCACCGAACCTGACGCCACTGTATCGACTCAGTAGGCTCGAGGCATCCGAACGTGCAGTGGCCGTGTATCATGAAACCAATGCGTCTGCCAGGTCAGCACGGTTGGATTCCAATACCACTGGATTGAGAAGCGACCTACCTGAGGGCTCAAGGGAAGAGAGATTCGTCGGGAGTTCGGAGAGTAGATCGGTAGAGTACGATAGCAGCGATGACCAGGAGATACAGTTCGCGGGTGCCCTCAGCGATAGTGCTTGCAGCGACGGTGATTATACCAGCGAGAGTGATAATGACACGATCGGGGATACGGCAGTCGGGGTTTACGCAGAGAAACTAGTCTGCTTGGTCAGACCTGAGGCCCCTGTAATTGCGAATCTGCAAAAAGGAGACGGAGATTCCAGCTCTTCTCTCACGAGCCCAGAGCATCCGGTAGCATCAACGCGCGACTCTCAAAGAGCAGCAGCGGGAGCGCCAGCAATTGCAGCAGCATCTGAAACAAGTGAATCTGATAAGCTTATGGCAATCCGACGGCCTAGAATGCTCCGTCCAGTGCCTGTATCTGCATCTGTCGAATTGAAGGCCAAAGGCTTTCAAGATACGCGGGTGTTTCGCAGAAAAGGGCGCATTTCGCAGAAACAATCAGACCAAGCAGCGTTGTCCTCAGCAGCAACACCAACACCAGCCACACCACCACCAACCCCATCGTTACAAGCAGCCAAACCAGCACGACCACTATCAGCGATACCGCCGTCCCCTCCCTCCTCTTTCTTTACCTCCTCCTCCTCCTCCTCCTCCTCCTCCTCCTCCTCCTCCTCCTCCTCCTCCTCCTCCTCCTCCTCCTCCTCACCCTCCTCCTCCTCCTCACCCTCCTCCTCCTCCTCCTCCTCCTCCTCCTCCTCCTCCTCCTCCTCCTCCTCCTCCTCCTCCTCCTCCTCCTCCTCCTCCTCCACCCCCCCTACCCCTCGCCCGCTGCAGTCGACAGTGTGGATGAACAAGGCGGCGCCCAGAGCCCCCCGGCACAGAGCAGACAGGATGGCGAACCGAATCCCCGTCAGCGACCGCGTGCTACAGGCGATTGTGACTATACAGAGGGCCAGGCGAGTGGCTGGAGAAGGCGCCAGGGGAGGCCAGGGAGGTATAAGGGGTGTAGAGAGTCAGCAAAGTCAAGCAAGTCAACGGAGCCATGGTGGAGGGGCGGATGGGAGGGTGCGTGGCGGGGCCGGGGGGGGGTCGCTGAAGGCCGTGGTGGCAGAGGTGGCGGCGGCGCTGGAGAAGCGCGAGGTGGAGGAGGTCATGACGGAGCTGCAGCGCCGCCACGACTGGAAGGCCACCCTCGAGGTGACGTGACGCACACTGTTGGGGCATCGTGTATGAACACTGTTGGGGCGCCTCCTCTAGTTCAATCTCGCTGCTCCAATGAGAATGACGGCCAGGGCGCAACCGCAGCAACCCCTGCCCCTTTCCTCCGCTCCCCATCCCTTCTCCTTCCGAAGGCGCATCTCTATCGTGGGGGCTTCTTAGCCACCCGGTGGCGTCTCCTTTATCCTCACCTCCTCCCCTTCCTCCCTGCCCTCCGCCCCTCTCCGATCCGGCAGGTGTTCGCGTGGAGCCAGCAGCAGGCGTGGTTCCGCCCCAACATGCGGCTGTACAACGCGCTCATGGGCTTCCTGGCGAGGGAGCAGCAGGCGCACGTCCATGCCTCGTGCCCGCCCTCTCTCTGGGGCTATGCCATCCTCCACGCTGCCATCCTCACTAACCTGTACCCTCATCCCTCCCGGCCCACCACCACTCCCACCGCACTCTGAACGTCCAAAAAGCCCGACATCTCCCCCCTGCGCGTGTGGGGCTCCATGGCGTATGTTCTCATACTCCCTGTTGACCGCTCACGCAAAGCTGGGAAGCTAGCCTCCCGCACTCTCCCTTGCATTTTCCTTGGTCACAACACCTCCTCCCCGGACTATCTCTTCCTCCATCCCCCCTTAGGTCGCCTCATTCGTAGTCGGGATGTGGAATTTGATGAAGCCCGCCCATACTACACCTCCCCCAAAGTCCCTAACCCCCTCCCTCTAACCACCCGTCCCCTCCTCTGGGCTGACACCATTCCCCCTCCACCTCCTCTCCCCTCCCCTTCCCTTCTCCCCCCCCCCACTATTGTCCCCCCTGCACCCCCACCCCCTCCCCACTCTCCCCCCGCCTCATCAGGAGACATCCTTGACCCTGTCCACCCTCCCTCCCCACCCGCTATCCCTCCCCCTCCCTCCTCACCCGCTGCCCCTCCCCCTCCCTCCCCACCCGCTGCCCCTCCCCCTCCCTCCCCACCCGCTGCCCCTCCCCCTCCCTCCTCACCCGCTGCCCCTCCCCATCCCTCCCCACCCCCTCCCCCTCCCCCTCCCTCCCTTCATGCACAACATTCCCCACCTCCCCCCTCCCCACGCCCTCCCCACTCACTCCACCTCCATCCTCCCGGCCCCTACTTCCCACTCCCCCTCTCATACTCCGCCACTACCCTCACACCCGCTCCACGGTCCCCGTTCTTGGTACCCCAAGGTCCACCCCCCCCTCCCTCCAGTCTCTCACATCCATCCCCCTTCTCCGCCACCATAGCACCTCCCCTCTCCCCCGCACCAGCCCCTCAGGTTCTCTCAGCAGTCGCGCTCCCGTCTCCCTACCCCTCACGGCAACTCAGCGAAGCCGAGCTGCAATGCAGCTGTCTCCCCACCCCGACCCTCAGCGCAGCAGAGCACCAGTGCAGCTGTGTCCCCGCATCGGCCCGACCCTCCAGCGCAGCTGTCTTGCAACTCCACCGCCTCCTCTTCCTCCTCCTCTCACTTCGGACCTCCTTGAAGACTCTCACGATGAGCTTCTGTTCCTCCACCTCCTCTCACCCACCATCGCCCCCGTCGTCCGCACAATGGCTGGCACCACTGTCCTTCTCTTCTCCACCACCCCCACCATCTACGAACCCACCACCTATGAGCAAGCACTTGCCTGTCTTGATGCACCTCTCTGGATCGAGGCCATGGTCAAGGAGAACAACGCCTTCATCAGCAACCGCTCGTTTCTCGACATTCCTCGTCCCCCCAAGCACAATGTGGTCAAAGGCAGGTGGCTTTTCCGAGTAAAACTACTCCCTGGCGACGCTCCGGTCTACAAGGCTCGATATGTGGCAAAAGGCTTCACACAGACCTATGGCTCAGACTTCTTCGAGACCTACTCGCCCACCGCCACTCCACCGGTCATTCGCGTGTTTTTGAACTTTGTTGGCAGACGCGGGATGATTCTTCACTCCATGGACGTCACCACCGCCTTTCTGCAAGGCGACCTTCATGAGCTCATTTTCCTGGAACGTCCCAAAGGCTTCCACGCTCCTCACGACCCTACCACTGTTTGGAAGTTGCTACGCCCTGTCTACGGGCTCAAACAAGCACCTCGGGAATGGCACGCCAAACTCTCCTCCACCCTCCGCGCACTTGGCTTTCGCCCCTCCCGTGCCGCCTCCTGCCTCTTCCTGCGCCTCACCCCATCACCCTTCTTCATCCTCGTCTACGTCGACGACATGCTGCTGGCCGCTGACACAGCTGCTGACCTCCAGGAGGTCAAGGATGAGCTGCAGAAACGACTAGCCTGCAAAGACCTGGGGGAGGTTCGCAACTACCTCGGCATGGAGATCACTCGAGACCTCACTGCCAAGACCATCACCCTCTCTCAATCTTTTTACATCGAGAAAATTCTTGAGAGGTTTGGCATGAAAACCTGCAAACCCATCCCCACACCACTTGCATTCGGGCATCGGCTCTCCCCCCCCACCACTCCCGTCACCTCCCCTCATCCCTATGCAGAACTTGTTGGGGCCCTGATGTACGCCATGGTCTGCACTCGTCCCGACCTTGCATACCCAGTCAGTGTTCTGGCGCAGTTCGTTGGCACCGGCAGGCATGGTGAAGAGCATTGGAAGGCGGCCATGCGTGTTCTTCGCTACCTTCAGGGCACAAAGGACCATGTTCTCACTCTTGGTGGTGTGAACCCGCCTATTCTTCAAGGCTTCAGCGACTCATCTTGGGCCGATGCACAGCCCGACCGTCGCAGCTCTCAAGGCTATGGCTTCACACTCGGGGGCGGCCTCATCAGCTGGCGCTCCACCCGCTCCTCCGTCGCCCTCTCATCCTGCGAGGCCGAACTGTACGCGGTCACGATGGCGGCTCAAGAGGCACGTTGGCTCAGCTATCTGCTCACCGACCTTGGCTCCCCACAGCCCTGCCCCACCCTGTGGTGTGACAACGACAGTACCATCCACCTCACTAAGGAAGCAGTCTTTCATGGTCGCTCCAAACACATTGAGCTTCGCTACTACTTTGTTCGCGACCTTGTCCAAGATGGTCACATCACCGTTCGCAAAATTGCCTCCTCCGACAACCTCGCCGATCTCTTCACCAAGGCTCTCCACCGCTCTGACCACTCTGCGCTTTTGCGTCTCCAGGGACTTGCTCCCCGCGGTGGCTGATTCAGGGGTTGTTGCTCTCTCTTTTCCCAAGCCTATGGATTTCTGTAGGTTAAGGGGTTGTGTCAGATTACCATCCTCATTGTAACCTACATCAATCCTATAAGCTTATGTTAGAGATAGCCACCCAAACTTAGTCTGGGTGTAGAACTAGGGCTAACCCTAGTTGGGGGTTGGAACTCAAACCTTGGCCCCCAAGGTTGGGTTGGGAATTATTGGTCCCCCCAATAATGTTGAACCACTTGGTCAACATTATTGGTCCCCCCAATAATCCCTCAACCCAACTTATTGGTGGGGGCCAATAATGTTGGCTTGGTTCCAACAACCCCCCCCCCCCTTTTAGCACTACTATGTATACCCCCATCTCTCCTAATGAAACCAATGGTTCTTCCTCACGTTTTCTCACAGTGGATGGCCGCTCCCTCCTCCCACAACTATGGTGTGGTGGATGGCCGCTCCCTCCTCCCACAACTATGGTGTGGTGGATGGCTGCTCCCTCCTCCCACAACTATGGTGTGGTGGATGGCCGCTCCCTCCTCCCACAACTGTGGTGTGGTGGATGGCCGCTCCCTCCTCCCACAACTGTGGTGTGGTGGATGGCCGCTCCCTCCTCCCACAACTATGGTGTGGTGGATGGCCGCTCCCTCCTCCCACAACTATGGTGTGGTGGATGGCCGCTCCCTCCTCCCACAACTATGGTGTGGTGGATGGCCGCTCCCTCCTCCCACAACTATGGTGTGGTGGATGGCCGCTCCCTCCTCCCACAACTATGGTGTGGTGGATGGCCGCTCCCTCCTCCCACAACTATGGTGTGGTGGATGGCCGCTCCCTCCTCCCACAACTATGGTGTGGTGGATGGCCGCTCCCTCCTCCCACAACTATGGTGTGGTGGATGGCCGCTCCCTCCTCCCACAACTATGGTGTGGTGGATGGCCGCTCCCTCCTCCCACAACTATGGTGTGGTGGATGGCCGCTCCCTCCTCCCACAACTATGGTGTGGTGGATGGCCGCTCCCTCCTCCCACAACTATGGTGTGGTGGATGGCCGCTCCCTCCTCCCACAACTATGGTGTGGTGGATGGCCGCTCCCTCCTCCCACAACTATGGTGTGGTGGATGGCCGCTCCCTCCTCCCACAACTATGGTGTGGTGGATGGCCGCTCCCTCCTCCCACAACTATGGTGTGGTGGATGGCCGCTCCCTCCTCCCACAACTGTGGTGTGGTGGATGGCCACCCATAGCCTCCCCGCCGCCGCGGTGCTCACTGGTGTGTGGCCCTCACCTTTCCTCCCTTTCCTCTCATACTGCCTGTGCTCTCCCTCTCCTCACCACCACTCTCGCATGCCCCACCCTCCCTCCCACTATCTCACCTCGTTTCCCGTGGCCCCTCCTCCGCTCCTGACCTCTTGACTCCACCATGGGTGCAGTTGGCGATGCGAGGACGGTCGTATGAGTCCTTTCTGACCTCCTCACTGCCCTTTGAAGGGGGCCACTCGACTCGCCCTGTGCTCTCACCACCACTCTCACATTCCCCACCCTCCCCCCTCTCCCCCCCGTCTTCTCTCCCCTCCCCCCTCCACCCCTCCACGATCTGCAGCTGGCGAAGCAAGGCCGACACTATGTGGAGCTGCCATACGTGGTGAAGGGCATGGACGTGTCATTCTCGGGCCTCCTCACGGCTGTTGAGGGCCTGGCACAGCACGTTGCTGCACCGGACGCCGTGGGGGACGATGGCTACACCGCTGCTGACCTCTGCTTCTCCCTGCAGGTCCGCTCTCTCTCTCTCCTTCTCTCAAATGGTCCGTTGTATTAATTCAGCAGGGGTACAGATATGCAGTTCTATCCATGATAACCTCGATCCCATAAGCCCATCAACTCACCCCTCATCCCCCCCCCTCCCCTGAGTGACCCTCTAGCCCTCCAGCGTGTGGAGGATGTCCCCCAGGTGCAGCGGCCAGGGGTCCGCTGCCATCTGGGGGTGCGCTGCCTCAATCCCAGCCCTGGCCTTGGTGTGCAGGGCGTTCGCCTGGGAGCGCTGGAGGGCCACTGACCAGCGCTGGCTGAAGTGGCAGGCCATCTTCTTGGCGGATTTCGCCAAGGGGCTGGCCCTGAAGCGGTTCCTAGCTGCTGCTGTGGCCAGCAGTTTCAGGAACGCCGTCGTGGGGGGCGCGTTTGCCCCATAGGTCTCGACGGCCAGGGCGCAGAACACCACGTGTTCAGTGTGTCGGTAGTAGTCCCTTTCCTTCCGCTTCTGTGCCTCCCTTGCAGCCCAGCCTGGGGGTTTGCGGGCCGTGGGGTCTCGGTTCTGCAGCACAGGGTCAGTGATAGTAGTGTCTGTGATCCAGGTCTCTCCGCTGTCCGGGTCTTGTACAATCACGTCTGCCTTCTTCGGGTCATCCGGAGGCGAGTACATCGCATTCTCCAGGTATACCACCAGCTGCGCCTCCCTCGCCATTTTAGCCATGGCGAAGGCCAGCTGGTTGTGTGTGCGTGTCCTGTCGGGGCCTGTGCTGCAGCGGAGTAAGTGGTTGGGTAGGCTGCAGTCAGCTACGAGTTCTCCGCACTCGCACACGGTTGGTACATTCTGTCGGATGCCCATGCGGAAGGCTAGGGCCGCTCGGAACTGACCCGGTGAGAAGCAGAGGTCCGGGGTCAAGGGTAGTGCCTGCAGCCACGCTCCCGCTCCCTCTCCTCTCAGGCTGACTAGGCGGAGCGTGTGGCCCATCTCGGGGGCTGACTGTATTGTGCGTGATTCCTCTCTTAGGGCGTCGGCCTTTGCCGCATGCACGTCCTGAGACAGGGCACGTTGCAGCGGGTCTTGGGACGGGGTTTGCTGCTCCTCACGTAAGTTTTGTAGCGCCAGCGGTGGCAGACGCCCCTCCATGTCCTGAATGGTAACCGAGTGCACGGCGGACGGTTGCAGAGTGTTGTTGTTGGCCCCCAGTGCCGCCGTTGCTGGTAGGTCAAGAGAGCGGAGTAACCGTAGCGCCTCTGTCGTTGATGCCAGGTAGGCCGTTGCTGCTTCCGTTGTGGGGTCTGTAAGGCCCAGCCCGCCCAGGGCGACTGGTAGAGTTGCTTGACGGAGGAGGAAGTTGAATTCGGCTTCTCGGCGTGGCGGTTGAATGCTGGCGGCGGTCAAGGCGGTGTTCAGTAATTCGGCGCACCATGTGTGCCATTCTGAGAGCGGTAAGACGTCAGCTGGGGTAGTGCGCAGCAGGTAGCCGACTCTGCGGCTGATGCAACGAGACAGTAGCAGGAGGGCGTGTTGTGGGTGGATGGACGCCAGAGAGCCCAAGGGGGCTGCCGCGTCTGTCAGGGTACTGCGGACAAAATCAGAGCAGAAGCTCTGCTACCCCACCGGACTTCCCAACACCCGTACCCCCTCGTGGGTGAGGGGGAGGCCCTCGGGGAGTACGTCACCTCCTAGCGGCACGGAGGACCACGCCGACGACTTCCTAAAGTTGCAGGTGAGACCGTCCCGTGCCAGCAGCGGCGTGAGCTCCGTGAGTGCTTCTAGCGTCGCCGCCGCGGGTCCAATCATTGTGATGTCGTCGGCGTACGCGAGGACCGTGACTTCCGGGTGCTCCGTTGCTACGTGCCTGAGGTGCTGCTGGATAGACGCTGCGAATAGCAGGGGTCCGAGGGGATCCCCCTGTCTGACTCCCCTTCCGCTGGTGAGAGCCGTGGAATTGAGGCATGGGTCCAGCAGCAGTGGTGAAGATGCTGCGTAGAAAGAGCGTGTGAAGGGGATTAGGGGAGCTAGCGGGGAGCCGATGAGTGCGTTGAAGAACGCGCTCCTCTCTACTGAGTTGAACGCGTTCTCGATGTCAAGCTGGAGTACTAGGCTGGAGGGCTGCACCGTGGTGAGGTCTCGGACAGCGTGGATGACAAATTCTGCACCTCCAGGGACTGCCACGCCAAATTGCTGAGGTAGGAAAAAATTCCGCGTTTCTCCTTGCAGATCTGAGAGCGCCACCTTCGCCGCCAGCCTAAGCAATGACTCTCCAATCGCAATGGGACGTACCCCCCCCCCTGGTTTGGCGAAGGCTATAAGGCGGGACGGGGCAAGTAGTACTGCGACTTCAGTGGAAAGGTTTGTCGAGAGAAGATGCGTAACGGCGGAGTGGAGGTGCCCTAGTACCTCGATGTTACTTAGCGCTGAGTCGCGGTAGTGTTCAAAAGTTGACCCCGATGGGCCAGCCCCAATACCCCTGGGGCATTCTCCAAGGACGTCGGAAAACCGTTCTAGAGTGGTTGAAAATTGCGTGGGTGTGGTGTAGGTATGCACCCACTCGGGCAGGTCATTTTGGGGTTGGGGGTGTTTCAATTCCAGCTGCTGTAGTGTCGCAATTGTCGCAGGTGCTGCGGGCGAGGGTTGTAGGGCTGCTAATGCCTTTCGCAGGTTACCCCGTTTCACCAACCCCTCCGCTCGTGAGCAGATTCCCAGTGGGTCTCGCTGGTGCTGAGGTGGTTCGGCCAGGTGCATTGACCCCAGGTAGTCAGTGTATAGCTGGGTCCAGTGGCCACATCGGAATAGATGCATCTGTTCCCGCAGCAATTTCCACCTAGAGCTCGATCGCCGGCTGAGTCTTAGCGTGAGACGTGGCAGGAACAAGAGGACCCGCCATGCTCCCGCGCAATTAGGCAGCTTGGAGATCCGAAGTAGGGCAGCCAGCATACAGGTGGAGTAGTCGCTGAGGATCTGCGGCGGCAGTCGGCGGACGATTGGTAGGTGGGTGATGGAGGTTAGGAGCGTGAGGTCCCAAGTCATCGCGATCTGGAAAAGATCCTCCCGCGAGGCCAGCTGGGACGCCGATAGTGCCTGGTCCGGGGGAAGCTGAGCTCTGCGATGCTGTCTGCGGCCCGTTCCTCTCTCCTGTTGCTGCGCTTGCCCTTCTCCTTGATCCGCGTGAGGTGAGTCGGGATCGTCTGGCTGCCTCAGATCTGACGGTATATAATCGTCTCCACTCCCCTCTGTGTTGATATCCCTGTTTCTCCCCGCTTGCGCTGGTGTTCCTCCCCTCGCCCCCGGCCTGGCGAATGACTGGCGCGTGACTCGTTCCGCCGGCTCCCCCAACCAGATTGGGCTTGGCAACTGGCGGGGCGGTCCCCGTCCCGCTTGGCCTGCGCTCCTCTGCCCTCCGCGCGCTCCTCGTCGCCCGCCTCTCCCCCGCGTGCTTCCCCGCCCGCTCCGCGGGGTAGCTGCCATAGGTTCCGCCTGTTGCGCCTGGGAGATCGGCGTTGTCGGCTCCTCGTGTGCCAGTGGAGCATCTTGAGCGTTGGCCAATGGATTTCCTTGGCGCTCTGGGCCGCGACTGCACCGCGGAGAGCGATCCTGCTCCCCGTCCGCTTCCTCCTGCACGCCCTGCCGCGAGCGTGCCTGTTGCTCCGCCGGCGTCCGCTGATCAGATCCGCCGCCGCTTTGAGGACCAGCGGCGCGAGTTGGCTCCGCGCGCGGGCAGGTCCTCGTCACCGCGGGAGCCCCCGCGCGGGGTCCGTCGCGCGCTCCGGCGCAGTGGCTGTGGCGCACCGGGAGCGTTCGCCTCGCCGTCGCTCATCGGCAGCTCGCGACGATAAGCGGGAGAGCCGCCGCGACGATCGTCACGGTGTGGCTCGTTCGCCGCAGTCGCCTCGTTCGCCTCGTCGCGCGGCATCGCGGAGCCGGTCCCGTGACCGCCGAAATTTTCAGCACTAACTGAAAGAATGAGAGATGGAGAGGCCGCCGTGGCCTTAAGTACTCATGGCAGAGGGCAGAAAGCAGAGGGCAGAGGGTAGAAGGGGAGAGGCTAATCCTCTCTCTCTCTCTCGCTCTCTCGAACGAGCAAACACCGAAATTTTCAGCACTAACTGAAAGAATGAGAGATGGAGAGGCCGCCGTGGCCTTAAGTACTCATGGCAGAGGGCAGAAAGCAGAGGGCAGAGGGTAGAAGGGGAGAGGCTAATCCTCTCTCTCTCTCGCTCTCTCGAACGAGCAAACACCGAAATTTTCAGCACTAACTGAAAGAATGAGAGATGGAGAGGCCGCCGTGGCCTTAAGTACTCATGGCAGAGGGCAGAAAGCAGAGGGCAGAGGGTAGAAGGGGAGAGGCTAATCCTCTCTCTCTCTCGCTCTCTCTCTCCTCTCTCTCTCTCTTGCTTTGAGTTGACTCAGAACTGGCCCACCCTCTCTTGCTTGGCATGCGTGGGATGAGACAATTTTTGAGTCGAGTTAGAAATCGTACACCGCTGCTTGCCTCTGCTTCTCCCTCCTTGTCCGCCCTTCTTCACCCAAACCCTGCTTGCCACGCTCCTCAGCTCTTGCTTCCCACACTCTTCAGATCTTTGATGCTCTCTGGCCATGACTTCTGAGTCGACTCAAACGACACCACGCTGATGACCTCTGCTTCTTCCTGCAGGCCCACCTGTCCCCCCCCTCACTTGCTTGCCATGCTCCCCAGCTGTTTCCCTGCTCTTTCTTTGGGGCCTTGTATAGGCTTCTTCATAGGTTCTATTTCCGGTTATTTGTTGGGCTTTCTTGCACATGCTGGGTATGAAAATATTAAATCTGATTGTGAGGGCCGTTGTGTGCGATTGGACCGTCTTTTGCGCTCGTTGGTTGCTTGCTTGCATTCTCTCTTGCTGCACAGGAAACCATCTTTGCAATGCTGGTGGAGACGACCGAGCGGGCCATGGCACATTGCAACAAGCGCGACGTGCTTATAGTGGGGGGCGTGGGCTGCAACATTCGCCTGCAGGAGATGATGCAGCAGATGTGCTTAGAACGAGGGGGAAGGCTCTTTGCCACAGACGACCGGTACTGCATTGACAACGGCGCCATGATTGCTTACACTGGGCTGCTGGCGTTTCAGCACGGCGGGCTCAGCATGACTGTTCCTATCGAGGAGTCGACTTGCACTCAGCGGTTTCGAACTGATGAGGTGGAGGCGGTGTGGAGGGAAGGGGAGGGGAGGAAAGGAGAGGGGATGGAGGGGTTGGATGGAGGAAGAGGAGGTGTGGGAGTGGGGGTTGCAGCACGGGATGGAGAGCGGAAGCATGGGGTTGAGAATGGAGATGCGGTTGGAATTGGTGGGAAGGGGTGTGCAGGTGAGCAGGAGGGGTTGGGAGCGGTGGATCATGTGGCAGGGCATTTAGAAAAGAAGCTCAAAGCTGGTGGGGAGGAGAGAAGGGAAGAGAGGGAAGAGAAGGCAGCAAAAGAGGAGCCCTCTTTTCTGCTGGTAGGCTGAAGTTCTGCTGGCAAATATTTTTTCCTCTTGAGTGCTGATACCGTATGACTAAAACAGTGTCCTTGTAAATTGTACCTGCTCATTGTATATGAAGTTAAATGGATTGCTGCTTGGTACATCATTCATTACTCTTTGTTACAGGTGCAATGGAACGAGATAGCGAGGATTGCACTAGGTGTCAAACGAGTACAAAATATGAGCGAAGGCATGAGCGAATACTTACTTGCAAAAACATGCAAACGGTAACGCGGTGCGTGCGAGCTAGCTAGTGTTAGGCTGGCATCGAGGTTCGGGCTAGCCCCGAAGCATAGGCCGACTCGGCCAGGCCAGCGGTGCATGGTTTGGTAAAACAGTGCGTGCGAGGTTGGCGAAGCCCCGTTAGCAGTAACGGGCGAACAACGGCTGCTGCTGTACGAGATGTTGAAGAACGCAGTAAGGAATGCAGAAAAAATCCTTACACTACCCCCCCCCCCCCCCTCAAGAAGCCCCCTCCGCTATGCGAGTGCGTGTATATCGCGGAAACCCCAGCTCCTCAGGTACACTTGCAGCGCAGTGTGGTTTTCGATGTTGGCCAGGGGCACCCAGCTATCTTCAGTTGGTGTGCGGTCCTTCCAGCGAACGAGGAACTTGATCCTCTTGATGCCTGTGGGGTGACGAATCCGATGGCTCAAAATTTTCTCGGGCTCGACGATCGGCTCTGATGCAGGGCGAGTCATGGATGGCGGGCGATGGCGTGGCAGTTGGCTGGTGGTTGGGATGTACGGGCGAAGCAGGCTGACGTGGAACGAAGGGCTGATGTACCCGTCTGTCGGTAACAGTAGATGGGCGGTGACTGGGGTGATTATGTGGCTGATTTGAAACGGTCCACAGTAGCGCGGTCGAAGTTTCGGTACGACGGGCAGTCTTTAGATTCAGTGTGTCGAGCAATAGATAATCCCCTGACTGGTACGTGACTGGGCGGCGGTGGCGGTCAGCATTTCTCTTAGCGATGATGTTTGCTTTTTTTATTGCTTCTGCTGCTCATGTTCGGGCAGCTTGCAGTATCTCGGCGAATTGTTGAGCGCGTGGCTTGGGGTTGTCCGGACTCGGTGTCATGGGCACTGTTGGGTTTTGCCCGTAGTTCAGGACTGCTGCGTCGTCGCTGACGTAGCGTTGTTGTAGGCAAACTCGGTCAGCGGCAGTTGCTGCTCCCATGTTGTCGGGTCGTCACACGTGGCACGAATCAGCTGCTCCATGGTCTGGTTCGTCCGCTCCGTTTGACCGTCGGTCTCGGGGTGGTACGACGAGCTGAACTGTAGCCTGGTCCCAAACTGCTCCCAAAGGTTCTTCCAGAAGTTGATGGTAAACTTCGTGTCGCGGTCGCTGATTATCGCGGCTGGTATCCCGTGCAGTCGAACGACGGTTGCGATGAACAGGCGAGCGGTTTCTTCGGCTGCGATCGATTTCCTGCACGCAGCGAAGTGAGCCATTTTTGTCAGTCTGTCAACGACGACCATAACCGCGTCGTTACCTCCAGGGTTCGAATGTAACCCCGTGACGAAATCCATGGTAACCTGCTGCCAGGCGCGCTCGGGCGGTGGAATCGGCTGCAATTGACACGCCTTTCTTTTTCGCGAGCTCTTCATCACCTGACACGTAGGTTCGACCCCACGTGGTGCTGTACGTCGGTCAACAGCTCCGTCCAGTAGTAATACCGCTGCAGCTGCTGTCGCGTTTTTTCTACTTCGAACTGACCCGAGGTAACCCCGTCGTGTGCCTCCTGCAGTAGCAGTTCCCTTAGTAGTGAGTACGCAGGTACCCAGATGCGGTTGGTGCATGTTTTTACGTAATAGACTCCCTTTGCTTTTGTCAGTTGCTGCAAATTTCCGGTCGTGAAAAATGGGTCGGTGTGATATCGTGGGTGAATAGGCCGGTTAAAAGCGGGTTGGTTTGGGCGAGTAGGATGGTGTGAAGTTGGGCAGTGAGGCGGGTGGGTGCATCAGCAATGTTCGGTGCTCCCTTTTTGTACATGACTGTGTAGTGGAAATTGGACTCCAGATAGTCCAACCAGCGAATCTTTCGCGGATTGAGACTCGTTTGGGCGCGAAGGTACTGTAGTGCACGATGGTATGTCCGTACTGTCACGTCGGCTCCTATCAGGTAGCACCGCCACACTTTGAACGCGTGCATGATCGCCAGCATCTCGCGGTCGTGTATCGGGTAGTTGCGCTCGGGCGGGTGAAGTTTGCGGGACTCATACGCGATATGCTGGAGGCCGTTCCAGAAGTCTTGCAACAGTACTGCTCCCACAGCGATGTCGCTAACGTCGGTGAGGAGTTCGAACGGACGATGGGGATCTGCGATGTGAAGCACGGGCGGTGAGCACAAAATATTTTTGAGGGCCGAGAAGGCAGCTTGCTCTTTCTCCCCCCATGTGTAATCAACCCCCTTCCTCAGTAGGTCGGTCAACGGGGCTCCATGGCGGATCCTCGCAGCAGCGACACGGCGTATCGGATTTTCGCCAAGTCCTCCGAGACGTAGTTGGTGACGAAAAATACGTTCATCGTGAACAACCACGCCTGAATGGTCGGACCACCCCGTTGGCTCGGGTCAAAACAAGGCGGATGCTGCGGCTTGAGCGGCATCAGCGACGGCAGTGCTGATTCGCCGGTCGGCACCGAAGTCGTGGCGCGAGGTTGGCTCCTGGCCGCATTCATCGCTCCAGGGTGTGTCGTGATGTGGTCGTCGTCTCTGTCGTTGCGGGCGACGCCATCACTAGCCGCGCTCGAGGGTTGCCCCACACTTCCGTGTTGTGATGCCTGGCATGCTGGTTGTCCCTGCGTGCCTTATGTTTGCGATTGTGCTTGTTGTGCCCGTGCGACGTCATTTTGCAGTGACGTATGTTTCGCCGCCAGCGCCGCGATTTCTTCTGAACTTTCGCGCAGCTGCTGCAGCAGTTCGTTTAAGCGCTCCTGCGTGAGTGTTGTGACTTCGACGTGCTCGCCCATTTCGAAGGACGACGGCCCGGCTTAGCTCTAGGCGCAGTCGTGGCTGCACGCGTTTATGAGAGAACGTGAGGACAGCGGCTCCTAGGTGCTAAGGGGCGTGAATCCCTTCGAGTGCAAAAATCAACAGTTGATTTCTCTGGGTACGAAGATGCGCAGTCCAAAAGAAAAGTGACTTTGAATACCAAGTGTTACGGGTGCAACGGAACGAGATAACGAATATTGCACCAGGTGTCAAACGAGTACAAAGTATGAGCAAAGGCATGAGCGAATACTTATGTGCGAAAATATGCAAACGGTAACGCGGTGCGTGCGAGCTAGCTAGTGCAAGGCTTGCATCGAGGTTCGGGCTAGCCCCGAAGCGTAGGCCGACTCGGCCAGGCCAGCGGTGCATGGTTTGGTAAAACAGTGCGCGCGAGGTTGGCGAAGCCCCGTTAGCAGTAACGGGCGAACAACGGCTGCTGCTGTACGAGATGTTGAAGAACGCAGTAAGGAATGCCGAAACATTCCTTACACTCTTGTTGCATAATCACTTCCTAGTGTATAGTCAATTGACTTGAGATGTACCAGAACCAAATGAAACAAACACATTGCAATAAACTTTGTGGGTAAACATGCCCTATTGTACACAACGTCAGCGGCAGTCCAGTGCTTCTGGTTCTGGCCACAGTTGCTAACGCCTTTACACAAGGCATTTATTCAATATAATCTATCCTAAAAGTGCCCGAGTGTAGCACTCATTCTCCGGAAGGACGTTCTGCCAAATCCGAATGAGATCACAAAATTGGCTTGGTTCTGTCATTCAATTTCTCAGCATGTTGCACGTCCTCACTTACTAAATACATGGTGCCGTACACAACGCCATCCTCAAATGGAATGAGTAAAGAATAGTGTTCCCAAGCACGATCCTTGGACGTACCATGCGGTGCACGAAAACAAGCAATGAAATGACTTGTATCCAGCCAAATGATTGATGTCGTATTATAAACAACAGAAAATGCTCTTACCTTGTTGGACGATCCGTAAACTCGATCAAGAGATAAATAAGAGAAATACTTGCTCGCGGATCCAAACTCATGGTCGTGTGCTATACTAGCTTCTACATGAAACCTATAATTGGGATTATCCCAATTCTCGACAACGTGCCGCAACAGCTCGATTTTTTCATCTCGGTCTCTATCTTGTGTACCATATAATGACATAGACAGACTTCGAAATAAGCAATTCCCATCTCCAATGATGTGTTCTAACATTAAATTATATGGCTTACGAAACTCACCGTCGGACCTCTCGCCTGTAATTATCAAAGCCGTGCTCGAAGATGATGCCATCATACTGTTCTTCCAACTCCCTTTGCCACAACGAAGAGCCAAGCTGCTGCAAGAAAAGAAACATATGAAGGGTAATGGAAGCACACTGATTGGCAAACAAAAACCATTAGGAGGAGAAAAAAGGCAATGTCAAGATCAAGAGAAGTAAAGTAGGTAAAGACTCAAAACTGCAACAATAACGAACCTCACACCTACGTTTGTGCTTACCCTTAGACTCACCCTTGCACTCCCCCACATGCGAGCGTCGATCCACGCACGCTCTCACCCACGCACTTGCACAAGCATGGACTCATGCACTTTTTCACGCTATCACTATCGCATTCACACTTCCACTTATTCTTGCACTCACCCTCACTCACCCGCGCACTACATTCTATCTCTATAATAAATATGCGTATCGCGTGTTGTACGCCAGCGTATTTTTGTTGGCGTATCTAAACAAAACGCTGATTGGGGGGGGGGGGGGGGGGGGGGGGGGGGGGGGTCCAGTATGCACTAAATTCGTCTGCCCAGGTAGGTAAAACTTTCTCCCGGGCAGCATGTTCAGAGCTTGGGTTGGGCGAGGTGCAAACCATCATACTAGAGTCTAACCTAATGCGGATATTCCGCACCCTGGGGGTGCCGCGGGCCCGCGACGTTCAACGAGACTGCAGCAGTAGGAGCAGCGTCAGCAGCAGCCGCGTTA